TCCTCGGAGTTGCCGTCCTCACCGCTTAAAGTACTACTGCTTATTGTTCGTTTTTCCTAAGGACCATTCAATCGCATGGTCGAAAATGCACCTGTAGGTGACCACGTCAGGCGGTATTGTTTCTGTGCAACAAATTTTGCCCAAGTCTAGGATCCTTGGGTATTTACGCGATAAGAGATTGGAAGACAAAAACAACGTGGTATGGGGAGAGAGAGGTGATTAATTGCCACTGGAAAAGCGTCGCGCTGTCTTAAAGTTTAGGTTGTTAATATCACTTTCTTTATCGTCTACTTTAACTTGTTCATTTTATGACCGAATATTTCCGAAAAAAAAATAAACATATAAACACAGCTCTTAGGCAGCAGAGGTAGTTTTATGGCTGGTACAGGAGCAAAAAAAATTGAAATCTCTTGTACGGGAGCACATAAGCGCAAAAAGTGTGGTATTCAAAAAGACAAGGAACGAGTCGTAAATTTTTTACCTTGCCCAGTTTTTGAAGCTAAGCTCGAGTGTCAGCTGTGCGAAAGAGAATGTTTTCCAAGCGCATAGTGGATCGAAAAACTTATTTTTCCCAATGGACGCCGGCGCGAAGATTGAACTTTCTTAACTCCCTCCCATGTGTCATCCATTTGATAAGCAACATCAAGATATGAAAAATAGAGGTCAATCTAGAAAAAATCGAAAAACTGAAATCTTCCTCAAGCTAATCCCAGGAAACATGATTGGGTTACTGACGTGCTTGAGAGAACGGAAATTTGACTTTGGTGCGGTTTTTTTTATGAGGTGGAGCGTAGACAACATTTAAGAGGGGTGAGGATTTGAATCAATTATCTTGATTACTTGTTCATGCATGTACCTTCATGGAAACTAAACTAGAGATCAAGGGACAAGAGTACTTTAATGAAAAACTATTTTCCTCCAATTCAATTCGGCCTGGGTTGTCCTAGAGGCGTTAACATTTCAAATAAATCCCACCCTGAGACTACCACCTGGACCATCTCCAGAACTCATGTTTAAGTTTAAGCTTTGAAACTAAAGGATATTCGTAAAGTTAATATCTTTTGCGAGGAAAGTTCTATGATAGAGCTCAATGCTTGAATAAGCTGTCTGATAAAACTATAAGAATTTTCCAAAACAAAAACAAAAACTTGTATCCGGAATCGAAACTGCTATGTCACAGGCACACCATGATCCTAATGGATAACGCATGTTTTAAAGCAAAACATTCCTTGGTAAAATCACACCACCTCAGGAATATGAAACCTTATTATCGACTCAATGGGCTAAAGAGGGTTAAACAGCGAAGATTATTTGCCAGTTATGTCATCACGTTGAACGAGTTGGTGACACATAGTGAACATCATCGAATTGTATTGTTTGAATTAATTTCATAACTGGATCTAACCCTGATAAACGACATTTTGTTATCCAGTTGCCATGGTACACTTAAGTCCCCTAGGGATGTAGATAAGACTCTTACCGGACTCCAAATAAATATGTAATGTAAGTGGACTAAGTTGTACAAGAGAAGTTGCCAATCTAAGAAATATTGTACTGTTTTATATTTTTTGACGGGATGTCCAGATTCCAACTCATTCTGATGTGAAAGCCCATATCATGTCTCTATACATCGGCACGTGATTATAAAATCATTAATGAATGTTCGTAAGCTAAAGAAACGTCATTCTTACAGATATTCCAGTCTTGTGTTGTTACTAAAGGCCCCTGCTGGCAAGTTCTGCAACTTGTTTTTGGACAAGTCCCTAGGAACAAATTAACAAATCAATTACCTATTTATGGAGGGAGTAAGTTTCTAAAGAAACTTTGATGCCGCGTCGGTGGAAGAGTGTAACTTATTTGATAACGTAAATTAGCGATTTGCTCTGACGAAGGGCTAACGCTTGAAACATTAGCTTTGAAACTATATACGGCAACCAATTTACGTTATCAAATCAGTTGATTATACCAAATTAGCTAGTATTTTATTTTCTCCACTGGTAACCTGAATTGCCTTACTTTTAAATATATGAGACTCGCACTGTCCGTATGGTGCTTGTTAATTTGAGCTTCACGTACAAATGAATCAGCTATGAGTTTTTCCTTTAACTTCAAACCATTTGCCGATCTCATAATGGCTGAAAAGATCTGATGAAATGTACATTCATCAGGATTATCCTTCTGCCATTCACCTTTTCGATCAAGCAGTAACCATTTAAACAAGATAACTTTTATCAACTAATAGATCAGTAAACCTCCTCCAACAATTCGGTTTGAACGTTTTAACCAATTCCACATCCACGAGGAATATCCGTGGCGAACAATTGCTTAACAAGTTTTGACCAGTTTTTTTTGGCTCAAACGATTACCATATCAACACTTCAGTCTACTACAGTGTCATCCAGTTTTAGCTTTCCGTGTATATCACCCAAAAACGAGTTCGGTGAACCCAAGATTTGATTATTCAGTACCAGTCAGCATATCATGACTTAGCTCTTAGAAACTTTTAAAAATATCAGTGGAATAAATTTGGACCCACCATAAATTATCGAAAAGCTATGATAGTGCTGAAACTACCTTACAAGCTTTTTTTGTTTTCAAAGACTGAAACAAACCTACCTCTTTATGTGTTAATTGCAGTTTAGCATGAAGGAAAGGTGTGATCAATAAACTCGCTTTTGAGTGACAAGCTCATTCAGTTAAACTTAAGGTTGTTTTTAAAATACCGCATAGTTAAAATTGTGAATTTCTGCGGCACGGAAGTAAAATGTCCCACCTCATTAAATCTTGGGTTTATATAAAATAGGAAATTTTCTTAAAGCCTCCGTAACGGCCATGGGTTTTCGTAATGAGCTGACCAAAAACGATTTTCTTTCACTTGGCCTTGATCAAAGGGAGCGTGTACACTTGAAATGATTAATTATATACTAAAGATAATTTTCGAAAATACCAGAGCTTAATTTGACCAACGCTTTTGCTGTTTACCAAAACCAGCAAATAAAAAATAAATAAATATGCAATGGTAATGATGCTCACGGAAACACCCGAAATGTTTTTGGCTATCTTAGAGGATAGTAAATACATGTAACATCAATTTTTTCTCCACAGCAAGGATCAGAAGCAAGTGTTTATATTCTTATAGTAATTTCAATGCTGCACTCAGAAGTAATTCTGTCTCACTTTGTGTAACAGCTCTAAGTGACTTCTTTCCCATGAATATAGAGGTTAGCTCCGAAGGCTTAAACTGGGTCCGATCTACTTCTTGGCTCTCAGCAATAAACTGATATGCTTCTCATGCAGAGCACTTTGTATAAAGCTGATCTAAGATATATCGACGATTCTCTGTTTAGTTCGAGTATTTTTACACTGCAATGGTAAGTGTTCTTTGAGTACGATATGAAATAATGAACTTAAGAAATTTACTGAAGTCGAAATTTTCAGCTGATCTCAATATCGTTTTCTTTTACTTATCTCGCCGTGTAACTTTCCAAGCTGCTTTACTTAAGGCATTAAGTTTTTTCTACCTAAAAGTTTTACAGAGCCGGAAGCAAGCTTTAAAAATATAGTAAAGATGGACGAATTTTTTCCAAGTTTATCTATTTCCCATGTGAGGATCATTTCGCCCGTCAGTGTTTATGTTCTACGTTCGAATCGAGAAAAAGAATAAATACTCTGATATTGATGGTCCGACATAGATATCTTATCAAAGTTTACTCATCACTCAGAAATTACATATCACATGGAGGTTATCTCTGGAAATACTTTGGTTATGTCCAAGAGAAATGATAGATTGACACTGATTTCGTTACTAGATTCAACGGGTTTTCTTTGTCAGGTTGTAGTTGCTGGTGTTGTTGTTTTTGTTGTCCTTTCACCAACTTAACATTTGCAGGTGGGCTGTAAGGTCTAACTTTTTTCATGATCAAGCTCAATGTGTAGACCTTTACGTGGAATAGCGGACATAATAATTTTTAAAGTGAATTTTGCCAAATCAAAATGCATGAATTTAGCTAATTTGCGAAATTCATGCAATTTGATTTGCGAAACGCACCCGAAGAACCTCACTGAATGAAACATTATTTTCCATCCGTTACTCTTCAATATATCAAAATACAAAATAGGTTGACAAAGTCAATATGACTTACAGTTTTATCAGATTAGAATTTCTGCTGAAAACTTCCTTCGGCAAGTGCTTCAATTTGTTGTTTGAGAGCGTGCTGCAACAAAAAAGAAAGTCAGTTTTAACTCAAATTGTGAAAGGATAATCAGCAGCTAGCAAAAAAACCGTCATCTGTTTTTACCGAATGAGTGTCCAAAAAAAAAAAAACCGGTAGAGAAACTCTTGATCGAAAGTAAAACAAAGTCAATATCTCAAACTCCTGCGTAAATCTGACTGGAAATTAATTTTTAATACATTGAATATGCTTTCACTGGTTTTTTTTTACATTCTAAGGTAAATCAGTTGGCTCTTCTTTCATTTCAACACTCTGAATGCAGATAGAAAGGGAAAATCACCCGACGCATCTGGTTCAACAGTTATGGAATGTAATTCTTGTTATTTCTTATGAAATTTCTTATAAAAATACAAACGACCATAAAATGATTTTGTCTTTAGTATAACATCTCGTACTTTAGGCAATCATTGTGCCACTTCCAAATTCGAACAAAGGCCAAATTTGAGGCTTAATCGTTTACATGAAAAAATTACGCATGTCTGATTGGCTGAAAACGATTGCATTTTTCATATAAATTCTTATTGGCGCTGCCAAAATTTCGTCCTTCTTGACGTACTTCTGTGGTGAGTTTTTCATATGTAAGTCATTTACAAGACTAACAAGTAACGACATGATTTCGAGTGCAATTTGGTGTAAATAAGCGCATGTATATCTGTCAAAGACGGACTCGTGCAATTTTGTTGTCTTTGAAAATTTTTTAGTATTTATCAACATCATATTGCACTCGAAATCATGTCGTTACCTAAACTTATATGATGTATTAAGAACTTACAGTTTTCCTGTAGCTCGGGGAATTTTCTCTGGAATTGACGTAAGCTGTTTCGTTCCACAGTCGGCCGATACTAAGTTCTTCATGTTACCTTTAAGGACTTTGCATTGGCACTGTTGAGGGCACTCTGACAAACAAAAACAGGCTTCCATTAAAAATTGATATTTGAATCATATCTGTTTGTTCGAATCAAATTGATGATGGCACGTTACAAAGTATACCATCCGTTTAGCTAAGCATTGTTCAAAACCATCCAAAACTAAAATGCTCTCTCGTCGAAATGAAGACATATTTCACATCACATTTTTTATTTCTATTCAGCCGTTGGTGCAAAACAGCTCATTATAATCACGAGCATGATTTTTATTCGCCATGTATGAAAATGATCTAAAATACTTAATTAATGGGATTTGTTGCTCTCTGGTATTTTCCGTTTGATCTGTTCGAAGATAAGGAGAATAGTAAAGTCATTCCGGTGCAAACTTTGTTAAATTTTTTCATGTTTACGACGTAGATTCAAATAGACCGAACCTACTACCGCCAGGGTCGCATTAGAGCTTTTTTGTTTGTTTAAGCGAAAAATATGTCAACGAGTTGTGTTAAATAAGTGCTACCCCCAATTTTAAAACCTTGTCAACTTTTTGCGAGTCGCCAAAATTTCGCTAATCTTCAAAGGAGTCGATGTCCTGCCTCGCAGGCTTCCAATCTTTAGCACACCGAACAATCTTGTTTTTAGACCATTTAGCTGTCATCGTACACGAGAGATGTTCAGATAAAATTTAAGCGGCAAAAATACGCTGTGGTCCGCTAGAGTAGTTTGGCGCACGCGATGGCAGGACATTTGACCCTCAGTTTTCGTTTGATGGAAACGAGGAATTTGAGTGACGTTTTTATTCGAATGTCTGACTCGTACCCTGGGCTCGGTCACAGGCGGCAATTTGGAGAACAATCGGCTTTAACGAGTACTTCTCCTTCAAATGGAATCATCGAAGCCAGCACAAGTGGCGCAAGCTGCAACCAAAAAGATCGACAAGAAAAAAGAAAGCGGAATACGATACATGGTCACAAGCTCGAACCATGACTCCACCGAACGCGGAGACCTCGACTAAGGACGGTTTCGAAAGCGAGCTCTATTTAATAGAAGTCTTTGCCCTCTACGTCTAAGAGTTGATAATAGCCACATAGAAGCCTGCTGATAATGTACCAACAAGATAAAAAACGCAACGTTGTTTTGGAGAGAAAGAAAGCTGCGAGGATAATCATTCGATGACGATCCATTCTTGCCCAGTAATTTTAGCGATAATTTTTTCTTTATCCTTTAGTAGAGGGAGATGGGTTCGCGATTGACGAACGTGTCAATCAATGAAGTTTTGATCAAAGGATACTAGTTTGATGCATCCGCCTCCAAAAATTGAAAATTGCAAAAATTTTTGCCAATGTTTGGCTCGCGAAAAATTGACAGATATTTGAATTCGCTCCAGTGCGACCCGGCCCTTAAATTCTCAATTTCAAATAGATTCAAATAGACCGACCTACTAATCCTCTATTTTCTTATGTGAAGTATACGGCGAACGACCTAAAGATGGCTATCCTAACCGAAAAAAGGCTCTCACTTTTCTATACATTGATTTTATTTCGTGCATTGCCTCTTGCGCGGTCGCAGTAATGGAAAATACCTTTAGGTTAGCAATTTGAGCTCAGGGGAAAACCGCACTAACGTCACTTGCGACTTTTGCTAGTTGTTTATTTATCCATTCTGAACGATTTTGCGATTATTCAATAGTTTTAACAGCACAGTTTTTGATGGCAATTTTTCTTGGGCAGCGGTCAATCGAGTCAATTAATAATTTTTTTAAAAGCAAAAGCATGAAAACTAATCTTTTAATAATTAAAAAAAAGACACTTAATTGTTTTATGTTTTACTTCATAAATGTGACTTTTCAGGTTACCTTTGAATAAAATTGTAGAAGGTTTTATTCTAAAACCAAAAGTTCCCAAAATCGACATAAGACAAAGAGTAAGGTTTACCAAAAGCATACACAACAACTGAGATCCCCTTGAAGTAAAGATGTAACTTGAGACCTACTCTCGACAACAAGACTGATGTTTTTCGGCTCCTGGTCTTCCACTTCGCAGCTGTAATTTGTATTTCCTTCTTCTTCAGTGACGTTGATTTGAAGTCGCACACTAGTGCTGTTTTGCACAACAGCGCCATTCTTTCTCCAAACAATGCGAGGAGCTGGTCCACCTTCCGCCGGGCACCACGACGATGACAAATGATTGAGCAGGACAAACTGAGTCTTTGCGACGTTTTTCAGGTTGGTGGGAACTAAGCACAAACATAATAAGACATATCATCTAGAATAAATTATACCATTAAGAAAATCAAAACACTTAAACCTAAGAATGCTTACCTCTTGCATTTAGTGCTTTTCCTTCATAGGATCTGTCGCCCCATAGCCGGTATCTATGGTTAGATGAAAATCTTAACCACATGTTCTGTCCACTGGAACGTAGGTTAATGCTAACGTATCTTCCACAAAATACACCCAAAAGATTTCCAGACTGATTATAGCCATCACGGATCTCAAGATATTCCTCATCAGCACAAGGTGCTCCAAGTGAGTCAATGGGCGTATAAAGCTCCAATTTTATTTCCACATATCGCCCTTTTTCTACTTGAAGACGGCGGGTTGTATCAAAGTCTGGGATATATCGGGAGTATACTTCCGCGATTATTGCAACTGTAACAAAGAACATAATTTCACAGAGCAATAAGTATACATACTTTGCACAGTTAGTTCATTGATGACTACCTACTTGTATCTCATTTTTTTAAGCTTCCTTTATCGTGTGCGTAAACGATGGTGTAAACTCATGATAGACTCTGAGATTAACTTCATAGCAAAATTTTCCCTGTACTTTTCTGATAAACCTGTCATATGAGAAGTATTTATTCTTGATAAATCATTGAGCATGTCAAACTCCTACGTCAGTAATTAACAACTGAATCATGCTGTGCTACAAGAGTCAAATGTCCCTGGTCGTCTATGTGGTAAGCATGAATTTCACGCATAATCTTCGCGCAAATAATGTTCTTGTTAAGAACTATTATGAATAGCCCTTGGTTGGGCTTAGATAGCTTCTGTTCGTATAATAGTTCAAACTGTCAGACTGCAATGCTCATCGGTAAAATTGCATAATTTACTCTAAATTTTACCAAGACTCTTAAATTACGCTTTTAAATACCCTTAGTGGCCAAAAAAGATCGTTCCTTCGGATTGTACGTATTTTCACAAATATGGATGGTAACCTTGGCCTAACATGTGACGCTAATCATAACTAATTTATGTAGCATATACATTCCTCAAACTCAGCACAATATCATTTCTTTGCTGAGTCGTAATAATCAAAATAGAGAAGCTGCTAAACGGCACCAAGATCGTAAAAAAACCAGAAATTATCAAGGTATACAATATAAGATTTTAATTTAGAGCCGACGAATTTCACTGAACTTTCCTACAACTGTTCTGCATATAAATATTGTTACTGATTTCCCTTAGTTCTGTCCATATTTTTACGTGAACTTTCTGACAGAATACTCGCCTCCAACACTGCTTATTTTTTACCATTCTGCCGATAGAATTGATTTAAGCTTACCCTCGGCAAATCAGAATAATCTTCGCATTAAAACTTTATCGTAAATTTTCTCACAACCAAAACTATCATAGTGTGTCTCATGCTCGCTCATGAAAACTACGCGTCTTAAACGAGCGCAGCCGACTTACCCAAAACAAAAATGAAAGTCCACATGTTAGACATCTTTCCTAGAAAGAAAAGCAAATGGGTGTTAAAATAAATTCAAATCTATCTTATCTGTAAGCCTCGAGTCGGCACCTCAGCATATCTATACGTTGTATACGTTGCGATTCAGTATCATCATCGGCTTCGACCTTATTTCCTTTGTCGCGTGATTGGACCAGAATATTTATGCCTTAACGACTAAGCGTTCTCCCGGCCACTGTGGCTATGTCATACAGTGAATGTTTGCACTATTTTACTATTTTATTTGACTTAAAATGGAACGTGCAGGTTAGTTAATATTCCCGCTATTAAAATTGTTCAATTCAAATGCTTAACGCTGTTTCTAGACATTTCTTGTTATTAAGAGACTTATAGCAACATCCGGCATATTTCCATTGACTGCTATTTTATCATTGTGTCACACCTACCCCAATTCTAGTAATATTCCATACAGTGTTATTTATGAAAACGTTGCGTCGGCAAATAAAACAAAAATTCGTCGTCGTCACAACTTTATTAAGAAGTCAGTTACTCATATAACGACACAAAGCGTTATGTTCTCTTATCCTCTTGATTTTTTCCTTTTATTTTTCTCCGGCAGTAGAAAGTAGTCTAAGACTCTACTTAAATTAATTTGATCACCAGTTATAACACAAAAAAGCTACGAGATTACCTGAATAGTGTTTGTTTCATTTCTCCGCTAGATTGTTTTATGCTGCAGTCGCACTTACCAACACAACAAATATTTTATTCACGTATACATCAATAAAACCCTAACAGATGTTTCAAGCTGGTGAGGTTATACGTAAGTTGCTAAAGTGGAGGCTCGACATATATTTATCTCACGTAGCCTATGAAGAAGAGTTTTTCAGGGTGTTTAACCACTGTTAACAAATCTGAACGGAAAAAAAAGATAAAAACAAAAACAGTGTTCGCACTAGTTGTGGCAAAATAATAACGTAAGTTATTTTTTTAGAGGAGAAAATCTTTCACAAAATGAAGTAAGACTCTAGCCCATCTTGTCATTTCCTCTTTGTTTAATAATTAGCATTTCAAATATCTCATTCTTATTTTGGAAAGGAAGTTTTAACACCCGCCAATACTTCATCCTGATCTGTGAATCAAAACATTTATACCTTCAACTTTGTAAACCAAAAATCCATTGTAAGACTCGGGTGTCTTAAGTTAAGCAACGTTCACATGCAAGACTTACCTGTAATATAATTGTAAGTTATATTAAAGAAACATTAATATTATATTAAAAACAGGCTCGGTAAAGAAACCTGTTGTCCTCTTTCCAAGAATTAACAACATGAAAAATAGTTTTAGTCATAGCGGTGCAACCCTTTGGAATAGTTTACCCTGTAACATTAGAGATTCTGGTTCATTAAACTAATTTACATGGCATTCATGGAAATCAGGTTTTTAAGTGGCACATTGTTGTAAGTTAATATAATGTTAGGATTAGGATTTTTAGGTTCTTAGGATATTAGTCATTGTATTGGAATTTTTTTGTACCTGATGAATGTTTTTTACCGCGTATAAATAATGATTAAATAAATAAATAAAGTTGACGAGAAAAAAAAGGAATGAACTAAGTGACCTTAATGACGACAAAAAACGTTTTAACCTTGACGAGAGCGAATTCAAAGATAACACAGTGAAAAAGCCTGTTAACAATGTTATATATTATTCTTTTGTGTTTCTGTGTATTCACGTGCTTGTCTGTATTTTAACCCCTGTTTATTAGTCCTTTTGTCCCAGTAAATTTGCTTAAAATTGTTATTAGGCTACATCATCTAAATTCATATTGAAGAAAATAAGCACCCGAGCACCATTTGTCATAATTTAAGATCTGCGCATAAAAACCCGCGCGGAATCTAAACGCTCGCAATTTAATTATTTCCCTATAAAAAATTGAAATCACAGAAAAAAGTGATCAACATTTAATAACAACAAAATCTAGAGGATATGTGTTAACAAATACACAAATCATTAACTGGTCTTATGTACTGGTAACTTCTATTTTTTATCTTCCATTGTGAAATGACGTTCATTTGCAAGGATTTAGCATATGATGCAGAGAATCCAGCGCTCATCTTCATCTTTATCGCTCTCTTAATTCGTACAAATTCCTTAGGATATATCTCGTGCGGCCGTCAAAAATTGACAGATTGAAAATTTAAATGAAATTGAGAGCGCTTGAGTCGTGAAATTCAATGTCCCTTTTAAATATTTGCCTTTCGAAATCGCGAAAATAAAACCCCGTCAAATATTATCTCCTCAGAATCGCAAAATTAAGTACCTCGAAATAAATAAATAAATAAAAAGCTGATTGAGAATCGTCAATTTTTTTTTTTATTTGCATGAAGACTTTGGGAGACCGTGAAAGATTTCACTGAAATATTCACATATTTTGTTGCGCTTCCTCTCCTAACGAAGAAGTTGACACAGAATTCAGTTATTATTGTTTGCCCAACTTTCTCATTTTTGATCAGCTTAACCGGACATTTCATATCGAAATCAGGCTTGTTGACAATTGACTCATCAATAAAAATTCATTTAAGTGTACGCATGCGCCTATGTTTGTGTTCAGCGGAACGCAAGGAAAGTGAACGAGAAACTTTAGAGGGAACTTTTTGTCTCAGCTGGTTATTTTGCTCCTAGTTTGACTGGTTTCAAGGCTCTCCGAGTTGTTCTTTACTCCTTACTCATTAGAAATATTAGTAAATTGTTAATCTTTCCCAAAATGCCACAGTGTTACCTGCAAAACAGGACCATCTCAGTCATGAGAGGACGAGCGGACATACTACAAAGACACAAAGAAAGTGGGAGAAGCTCTGCCATAAGCAGCCGAGACTTGAGAATTCTAATCAGAACTTTCCGAGGGAAAATTGGACTCTAAAAAACCGTGAATTTTTTTGGCTGAATAGCAATCATTTTATTTGATAGAGGGCGGGGAAATAACAAATGACGAGAGTAGGGGTCTAAAGGTATAGTCAAGAGGTTCTCTTAAAGGATCTTTCCCTGTTAACAACCAATTTCAGGTCAAGTGACCGGTTTATTTCTAAAAATGCTGAAGTCAACCTAAGTCAAAACCATATAAATATACAATTACAATTACAAAACGAAAATTCCTTGGTTATTTAGACAAAAGAAAAAGAACCTGATTAGTCCACCGTATTTCATATAAGTGGACTTCTGTTTGCTGCTAAAAATATCATGCGATTGTCTCCCGGCCTACTATTGAGGGATGCATGCTTATATAACGTCGCCAAATTTGCCAACGCAAAAATCATTCTATTCTCAAATCAGTTGATAAAAAAAGCCCACACAGATGTTTAAAGCTGCGCAAGTAATAAAAGTAGAGGTTGTCTCATTTTAAATTCACTTTAGGTAATTTATACATCCCTAACGCTTTTTTAAATTTATTTATTTGGGCTAAATAATTAAGTCTATAAGACCAGAATTAAAATAGTCAGATACCTACATGGTGCCATAGAAAATAATTTTAAGAAAGTTGAACATGTAAACACTTCAAAAGATACAAAATAAAATTTAACCCAGTCATCAGTTTGTAGCCACGGTAAATAATTACTGTGGCTGTGATATATATTGCACATCTCCATTCAGCATAATCTTCCTTAAAACTCAGATGTATAACTATTTTTCATTTTTCACGATTTAACAGTTCAGTTTGTTGTTAACTGATCCTCCAAGTTCGTTAATACTATCAGGCGGCCGTTATCCTTGGAATTAAATATTCAAAACTGTAGTAAACAAAATTAAACAATCATCTTTTACTTCCATATGTTTAGTTAGAATTTGAATAACAAAGGTACTTTTCCATTATAATCTTATCTTTGGGAGAAACCATTGAAAGATGTCAACGAAGCCGATGTTATTTTACTTTTCTGTTGATTTACTTATTGCAAAAAAAGTTCAATGGTTTATTC